CTCAATACTGAAATTAACTTTTCTAGATTGATTAGACATGTGGGGTTTCATGTGTAGGATCTTTTCACTCGATTATGCACAAGGAATCACACATTAGATCTAGAGGGGAGGGTGAATATATTAATTTAAAATTAAACTCAGATGACCTCCAATTTTAACCTATATCTTCCATAATTACCTCTTCTCATAAGATATAACAATTTAAGTGAGAACCCTTTTTAACATAAACAACCCATTAAGGGTGTGAATGAATGAATGAATATACAATCAACACCAACCAATCCACAATCTCATTCTTATCTCAACCAAAGCAACCATTACCAAAACCATTATTANATACAATCAACACCAACCAATCCACAATCTCATTCTTATCTCAACCAAAGCAACCATTACCAAAACCACTATTAATGACTTGAAAGATAAACAATCAATTCATCAAACATATAATACTAGTGTGTGCAACATTACAAGTGTGCAAGAAAATTTAAGTATTAAAGAATACAAGTANTAGCTAACTATGAGATGCACTCTCATGAAACAATTAAAGCTTTATTATTATAAACTAGTACCATAAAATTCCTCGTTGCGTAACTGCACTTACTTATTTTAATCCAAATCTACCACGTTCGACCCCACACCATGTCTATATATCAAAAAAGAGAAGANTATAAACTAGTACCATAAAATTCCTCGTTGCGTAACTGCACTTACTTATTTTAATCCAAATCTACCACGTTCGACCCCACACCATGTCTATATATCAAAAAAGAGAAGAAGAATACAATCTGACTCACACATCACAACATTGACAAACAATATATTCATCAAAACCATCCACAGTCCATATATTCCTGAGTCAAATTCAAAAAGTCACAACACAAACAAATATACCAAAACTCAATACTGAAATTAACTTTTCTAGATTGATTATACATGTGGGGTTTCATGTGTAGGATCTTTTCACTCGATTATGCACAAGGAATCACACGTTAGATCTAGAGGGGAGGGTGAATAGATTAATTTAAAATTAAACTCAGATGACCTCCAATTTTAACCTATATCTTCCATAATTACCTCTTCTCATAAGATATAACAATTTAAGTGAGAACCCTTTTTAACATAAACAACCCATTAAGGGTGTGAATGAATGAATGAATGAATATACAATCAACACCAACCAATCCACAATCTCATTCTTATCTCAACCAAAGCAACAATTACCAAAACCATTATTAATGACTTGAAAGATAAACAATCAATTCATCAAACATATAATGCGAGTGTGTGCAACATTACAAGTGTGCAAGAAAATTTAAGTATTAAAGAATACAAGTAATTTATCGACGCAAAAATCCTACACGGGAAAAACTAGGGGGAACCTTCTCGGTTCACCAAAGCCTAATCCACTAAATCCAAAGTCAATCTACAAGTAATCGGGACTTATACCTCAACCAATCCATAAGGCTAGATGTTCCTTTTCTTTGTATATCTCTCTATCAAAGACCCTCCTTTGACGTTGTGGTAAGCTTCACTTGAACTCCCCACCACACGATTCGTTTAGGCTTCAAGCAATCTTCAAGGCTTCACACCCAAAGCCTCGGTATGCACACTTCTCCAAGTGGGTTTTGGCTGACATCAACCAAGATCTTCTTCAATGTTTGAGATAGAATGGAAGAATCAAGATGGTTGACATTTGGTTTTAGTGATCTAAGGTTTTTCTTGAAGCACTCTAGAAGAAATTTTGGTTTGTTCTAGCTTATTAAGGCTTACCCTAAGTTTAAAACATAGCCCTATATATATAGGACACAAAACAACTTTATGTTAGAGACCAAGAAAATACAAATTTGTGTCGACTGCTCGAGCAGTGGTTGCTGGAGTAAAAGAACATTTAAGACCTCCAGGTGGTAGACCGATCTAGGATTGCTCGAGTGACCTCCAAACCGCTCGAGCTGTGGAAGGCAGTCGTAGAGCGGCCATCAATCGATCTACACTAGTTTCTCCAATTTTGTCTCCCTAAGTGTTTTGGAAACCACTCTAGTGAAGGCTAGCGAACATAGAGTGATTGCTACTAGTTTTTAAACTAAAAATCAAGTAAAAACTTGACCTATTAAGCACTAAAGGGTGTTGTTGAAATAGGGTCTAATAAATGACTAAAACTATATTTTCAAAATATTTAAAGTTTATAAATATTTTCAATGAAAAACCCTAGAAGTAATTTTTCAAATATTCCAAATTCCATTTTGTTCACCTTAACCATCGTAAGTCTAAAATTAAACCAAGTGATTTAAGTCTATAAGGTCATTTCCTTTCTCCTAAGCTTGAAGGTGCATCCAATCTCCTTCCCTTCCTTTGTTACTTGCGGATCTTTATTTTTGAAGAATGATGACCATAAAATTTGGTTGAGATTTACATAGACTTCACAAAATTAGTCAATTACAAATACATGATCGAACAATCTCCCCCTTTGGTAATTTCGTTATAAAAAACATAAGTAAGAAATTAAATATTACAACTCAAAAACCACTGAAAACAAAACAAATTGAAAACTAATCTCAACACTCATGTACAAACTCTAAATCTCAAAATTAAGTAAATCAACTATCTTATTGAAAAAAGCATCGAAGATCATAGTCCTGCACACTATAGGTAAAACTCCGACCCAATTCTAAATAATCCACAATGCTAATAGTCTCCATACGTACTAAATGATATAATCTCCAAATAATGAATAAACTCTAATACCAATTCTATAAATATAATGAATGTTTGTTATTAAGCTCAACAGATAAACTTACTACACATAGCTATGATACAACTTAGTCATAAACTTGTTACGTTTCACACATGTACATCAAGCTCATTACAATTTACAAGCCTTAACAAATTTATCCTACATTTAAAATAAAAATCCTGAAAAACTGGTCATCCAAGCATTCTCAAACTTGCCTGCCACCTACTAATATGAAAAAGGGGAAATAATACAGATTGAGCAAAAATAGCTTAGTAGAGTAGCTCAATTCCAAAACATGAGAGTTTGAAAATAGCATAGCTTGACATGATTAGGCAATATGAAAACAGTTCATTCCATACATAAGTAATAGAGAAGAAAACATTGAATGAAAAAATTTAAGGTTAAAAAAAAAGTAATGCGATCATAACATTAATAAAGTGATGCACCTGTGGGCGATCATTCTAATAGAACACTTAGGGTCAATACAAACTTACGATCCAACATTTTGGAGGACTTTCATCCTGAGGAAGATATGCTCCCTAATAACAATTTGGTTCCCAAGTTCGAAGACCAACAAGGCTACCCAAACATTTACAAACTAAATGAGAAACCCTATACGACCTCAACCTGGAATATAAACCGTTCACCACTCAACTATTGCACACTTATATTTAATTCAAAAAAAATCCTGAAGTTTCAATCATTTCTAATGATACACTCAATATAGACAACACAAACAATTAGTGTGAACTACACTCAACAACCCCAATCCAGGTCCAGATCCAAGTCAATAATCAAAACACTCAATCATATATTTCAAAACATACTAAAGCATCATAAATAACATATTTCATAAACCTAGAAAAGGAGTTTTGAAAATCTCGCCCGATCTAAAATTGAGAAACCCTACCAATCTCAATATTTCGATCTGAAATAGTCAAAAATAAAATGATTTTATTTCTTGATGAAATTTCATAAACATACTCAATTTAACTAATTAAAAGTGAATATAAAATTTATTTGACAAAACTCATCCAAATACTAGGTCAATCGACCATGGAGGGAAAATTAGACATTTTACACCACATATTATCAGGATATCACATTGACTTCAATTTTATTGGGACATCCGTACGGACGTTACAAAACTTTTGGGACCAACAAAAGGTCCATTAGACACTCAAGCTTCTTGTACCGGTACAAGTTCTACCAATTCGTCAAGGCGAAGTGTCCTTGGTTTTTTGCCATGGATAGACCTACAACTGATGTTTCGACCCTTTAAATAGACCCTAAACCCATTTGAAACAATACAAATGGACTCTTTGGTGTAGTTTAGGCTAGAAAAATACCCGTTTCAAAACAAAACACCAAATTAAACAAGTTTGATTTTGAAAACCTTGAAACTCTAACTTCGATTCCAAAATTCAAACCACCACCAATAGCCATAATGGCCTTCCAAACCACCACCAAACTTCTTTTCTAACACCCAAAAACTGAACCCTAAGTTAAAATCAAATCAAAACCTCTCCAATCAACGAACCCATGCAAAAACCGAAAACTTCAAAATATAAATTCATGCTAATACAGTAATCAATACATTTATCAAACATCATAAACAACTTCCTAGCAACCAAATTAGTCTAGGAGGAGACCTTCTTTTTTTTTTTTTTGCTTGAATTCAACTCACACAAAAATTGCATTTGCAAGTTCTCACACTCTTTCTATCTTCTCTTTTTCTCTCCCTCTATCAATTCTCCCTTATCCAAACTAGCGAGCAGATGATCAAGACCCCCCTTTCCCTAGCATTTGGGTGGAAGGCATGCTATTAGGAGCCTCCAAATGCAGCCAACAAGTTGCTTGGAGATCTTGGCCTTGTGATGACATTTTGGTAAATATTTCAAATCCAAAAAATAATTTTAAATATATATATATATATATATATATATAATTACATACATATTAAAACAAGGCCTAAAAAATTATCAATTAAATTTTTAAAGTTTAATTTGATATTTAATTTCATCCTTGAACCTCATTTCTCCACCCATAACTCTCCTATACGAGCTACCCTTACTTTGTCCAAATCCGCGTTCCAGCTCTCTCTCTCTCTCTCTCTCTCTCTCGTGTTATGTACATGTACAAACAAACATGCCTGCAATTTTCTATGTTTTCCTCTCTTACTTTTGTGTGTGTACATTGCTTCCAAATATACTATTTTTGCTTGTCCAATATCATATTTAAATTTTTTTAATGCAGTACAGAAACAATGAATTTGCTCCGAACTGAAGGTCAGGCAAAGGTTGGTGGTACACTTGTATGTGTCATTGGAGCTATTTTAATAGCTTTGTTCCAGGGCCCGACTTTGTTTGGATATGGAGAGATAGATTTCGCTGCACAAAGTCAAATAAGTGCCAGGGGGCCAGAGCCTGCTGGATGGTTGCTGTCTAGTTTTCTGAATTTTGGGATTGATCTTTGGCACCTTGGTGTCTTATGCTTAATAGGAAACTGCATTTGTGTNATTTTCTATGTTTTCCTCTCTTACTTTTGTGTGTGTACATTGCTTCCAAATATACTGTTTTTGCTTGTCCAATATCATATTTAAATTTTTTTAATACAGTACAGAAACAGTGAATTTGCTCCGAACTGAAGGTCAGGCAAAGTTTGGTGGTACACTTGTATGTGTCATTGGAGCTATTTTAATGGCTTTGTTCCAGGGCCCGACTTTGTTTGGATATGGAGAGATAGATTTCGCTGCACAAAGTCAAATAAGTGCCAGGGAGCCAGAGCCTGCTGGATGGTTGCTGTCTAGTTTTCTAAATTTTGGGATTGATCTTTGGCACCTTGGTGTCTTATGCTTAATAGGAAACTGCATTTGCATGGCAGCTTATATAGCCATTCAGGTATTAATTGTCTTTCCCAATTTTGGCCCCGGGTGGTGGGGCTGAAAACTAGAGCAAGCTTGTTTCTCTTAACCTTGGAAACAACTTTTTTTTGGGTAAGCTATTGTGAATTAATTAACCTAATGCTGGAAATCCATGGAGCAATTAAGAAATAAGTGATTTCTAGAATGTTTAAACTTCACATCGTAAAGCTAAGATGCCCAACTTGTTATGAGCTNTTTGGGTAAGCTATTGTGAATTAATTAACCTAATGCTGGAAATCCATGGAGCAATTTAGAAATAAGTGATTTCTAGAATGTTTAAACTTCACATCGTAAAGCTAAGATGCCCAACTTGTTATGAGCTATGGTATGTGGGATTGAGTACTTTTGCTAATGTATTTGCTCATACTGATTTTAAAGTTTGCTCCATAATTACTGATACACTCCCTCTTAATGATAGCTCCCTCACATGCTATGCCTAGATATCCCAACATCTGGCATACAGAGGCTTTGTAAATAGGATGCATACTTGTTGTGCAAGTTTTGAATGTTTAAAAGAAACCACTGAAAAATACAAAAAGGTAATGATAGTCATTGAAGCTGATGTAGAAATAACAAGCAATTGAGACCGAGATGTAAGAATAAAATTATCACTTGCCTTTTCATAGGCAACCATATATCAATGTGGACTACAAATGTGAAAATACATGATACTTGGAGCAAGACCTTAACAGATGCATGCTATTATTAGCAATTATCAGCAGTTGTTGCTAACTGTAAAAGGAAAATTTGTATTTTGAGCAATTTGTTGTTGCTCTCTGTCCCTTTTNATGCTATTATTAGCAATTATCAGCAGTTGTTGCTAACTGTAAAAGGAAAATTTGTATTTTGAGCAATTTGTTGCTGCTCTCTGTCCCTTTTTATGTTTGTGTTATTCGAAGGGGATTTGTCTTTATTATGTGCTTAACCTTTCCTTGTATTTTATGCTATTCGAAAGGGATTAAAACCAGCTCTTGTACCTAGAATTTGTTGGAGTTTTGGTCAAGCAGAGGTTGGTACTGTAGTATGGGATGTGTTGTACTCTGTGTTGAGAAAGTTGACAAGGTATGAGAACAATTGGTTTCCACTTGTATTGAAACTAATGCATGTATCTTACTTTGGGTTCCACTGTAGGATTCAACAAAGATTACTAACATAACAAATGAGTGCAAGGAGTCAACAAATCTCATACCCTAACCGGAGGAAGACATTCCCAAATTGCAAAAACTCTTTCTTGATGAAGAGAAAGTCTTAGAGGAAATTAAGGAGAACTCTAAAGGTATTTTCTTCAAAGAACAAGAAAAGCTAATCCCTCTTGAACAAGCTGCAAGACAAAAGGTTACCGAGCTCTTTCTTTGACTGTGTTAGGAGAGCTTGGGACTCTCTTTCTTTGAATATTTTTTAAATAGTCTAATCACTTTGCAGCTGGACTGTTCACGTTACTGTTCATTACATATTTAGCTGCATTCGTTTAGCTTATGCCAGGGATTTCGTCGTTCTGTCAGCTGGTTTTCTTCTCCTTCAGTTGCTAATTCCAGTTGGAATTTTCATTCTCCAATTGAGAATATTTTTTTTGGCTATATGACTGTTCACGTCTCTTGGACTACTCAGCTGGTTTTAGCTTCAAAATTTGGGTATATCTCTGCTGGACTAGTTTGTCCTAGCTGATTTTTAATGCAGCTGAGGTTTTCAGTGATTTGTTCCAGCTTGGAGAATTACGCAGCAAAGGTTTTTTAATTTAGCGAGTTGGAAATGGAATGGTGGACATGGTACATACTAGTGATTTGTTTTTGTTGGAGTATAGTCTAGTTTATTAGGATATCTTTTCCCTTTTTAACCCTTACTATGACTTCATGATTTTTGTTGCATCATCATATTTCTACATATGTATATGAAATTGCTATGTTGATTATTATATGCTTATTATTGTCATATTTATAAACCTTGGTGAGGTTTTGGAAAACATTATATCCTACTAGGTTTCGTAGCTCATTCTTACTTAATATTTTTTAGAGAATATTCACGAGATAGGGGAGGTAGCTAAGGAGTTTATTTAGGAAATCGAGTGACAGCTAGCACACTTTTCCTTTATTTTTCTTAAGAGTTGTGGGAGGAACTTTAACATTACTTGTCTAGTTTTAGCTTTGTTTCCATTGTACTTCTTTCCATGGTTTTGGGATTGTAAACCTAAATAGGTTGATGGATGTTAGGAGCATGTTTTTATCTCTAGCTAGTGGATTGTTTAGTTTGTTCAATGTTCTCACTAGTCATGCGCTTACCATTATGATCACTGCTTTCGATATTTTCTTTATTCAAAGTTGTTGATATTTTTGAAAAAATGTGTTTTATCTAAATCCAAATTGATATTTAATTTAAGGTTCTCTTGGAAATTAAACTCAGCTTCCTTTTATGACATAATTGGATTGATTTATGATCACATCATTTATCTAAACAAATGGGGCGTGACAAAATCCAAATCTTGACCTTTTTTTTTTAGAAATGAAGTAGTATTGTCCCTTTTGTATTGTAGGATAAATCCATTTAGATACTAAATGGATGTAAAATCATATACGTTAAAAAATGGTTATATTTTATTAACTTTTAAAATTTTTTATTTTTAACCATTTTTCCATATTTTAATGTATATGGTTTTACATCCATTTAGTATCTAAATGGATAAATACAATAGTAAATATAGTTTTATGAAATACAACAATTAGATTTTGGGTAAATTATAGTTTATTCTCTTAAAAGTATGCAACTAATTTCTATTTGGTCCTTCTAGTTCTAATTGTAATAATCAAATTTTAGAGTTTTATTTGAGTTGGAATTTAAAGCTTACATCAAAATTTACCAATTTATTATTACAAAATGGTCTTCTGTGACTAAGACATGACTTAGGTAAAAGGGTATCTTTATTTGGTGAAAAATCTGTTATGTGTAGGTTAGAAAATTTTACTTTATTTCATATGATTTTGAGAAAAAAGTATAACAAACTAAAAAAAAAGAAGATATAGAGTGAAAATTTGAGAAATATTATGAAAGGTCTGGACAAATATACCCAGGCAAGTCATGTGACGTCTTTTTGTCCAAACAAACTAATAGATCTAGATGAAAGGACTAGGTTGAAATTCAATTCAAACTTCAAGGATGTAATTGTATCAATTGAAACTTCAGAGATTAAATAGAAATTATGTCCATACTTTAAAGATATAAATTATAAATTACCCAACTTTGTAGGTTTTTTTTGGGTGTGAGTACAATTTTTTAGACTTATTTGAGCAAAAGTGTATGAATAAGTTGTTTACTCTATTAAGTACAATTTTAATAAAATTTTTTGTGCTTAGGTACAAAATTCAAATGAAATAAAAATATTGTTACCTAAACACTCTATCTTAAATTATGCAATTATCATTCACAGTTATTTGAGGAAACAAATATGTAAAAATTATTGTAGATATTATCATTCATTTTTAAATTTTGAATTGCAATTTTTGTGGTATGTCTCTGTAGTAAAAGTGTTCTTCAACGGTCGGCTTCATTACGATTTCATTCAACGTACGGCTTAACGATTCACTTCTCCGGTTGCGGTATCTTCTTGATTTATTTTCGTTTGCTTCCAAAGTCTATTTTTCTTAATCAATAGAGGATTTCTTTGAAAAAAGGAATTGCAAATACCGATCACCATCATCGGTTTGAAGGTAAGTTTTTAATAATTAAGTTTTTTCTTCTATTCGGCCATTTTTATTGGGAAATCTTAATTTCAATTTTGTTTTATGTTGTTCATTGTTGGGATGTAGAGAAAAAAAGAACTACTTTGATTTTTTAATGGGTGTAACTATTTTTTGCATAAACAGTAATGTACATTTTTTTTTTGTTGATATTGTATTTCTGTATGTGTAAAAAGTTATATTAGTGTTTGGTTGTATATACTTATTTTGTTTTTATGTTTTTTAAGTGTTTTTTTTGTGTAATTATTTTGTTTTATGTTTTTTAAGTACTTTTTTGTCATGTTTCTTTTGATTTTTGCTTTGTGTAACTATGTTAAAAAAATCAGAGTAATGTTTTAGTGTAACTGTTCTTGTATGCAAGTTTTCAGCTAATACCTATTTGGTAGATCCTGTATAGTGTAACTATTTTTTTGTATTATGTTTTTTTCATAGTATGTGATTAATTAATTCAGTCCTTTGTATTACAANGTAACTATTTTTTTGTATTATGTTTTTTTCATAGTATGTGATTAATTAATTCAGTCCTTTGTATTACAATTTTTTTTTGTGCTATTTTGGGTAACTATTTTTCTTTTCCTTTTGAATGGATACAATATCATTCATTTTTTTGATGTCTTAATCAAGAATTTAGGGAATAGTGTTGCATGTATCCGTCATTTGTGATGTGTGAACATCATCATCGGATGAGATGTCCAGTTGCACTTCAGCTTGCTACATGTACACATCATCAAATCCCAATTAACCCATACTATAAACAATAATCAAAATAGTTACATCAAAAAGTTACACAAAAATAGTTACACCATAAAGTTACATACCATGACTATTTACATTTAGCATACAATTTAATTTAACAGATACTTAACACAGTTACAACCATTAATTAACAGATACTCAATACAGTTACCAATAATAGATATAAGAATGTAATACTTAAAATCTCAAAATAGTTATTCAACACAGTTATAATCATGAAAATTTGTTTGAAACTGTTTATAATTTGTATTCAAATAATTTCAACTTTTGAATTTCTCATTCAATATAAAAGACTTCGAGTTATTTAGTTTCATATTTGAAATTAAGGTTTTATAATTATGTTTTTGGTTTTACAAACAAAAAAAATTAGAGATTTGAAAAATAATAATGAAATCTATATAATAGTAACCATAAACAAAAAACGATATTCACAACAGTTACTACAAATATGAAAACGAAATGGAATACTTTGAATCCCAAATAGTTACTTTCAAAAAAAAAAATATCTGTTNTAATAGTAACCATAAACAAAAAACGATATTCACAACAGTTACTACAAATATGAAAACGAAATGGAATACTTTGAATCCCAAATAGTTACTTTCAAAAAAAAAAATATCTGTTTGAAAGTGTTTACATTTTTCATCTGCAGATAATTTCACTTTTATAATTACTCATTCATTAATTAAAGAACTACAATTTCTTACGTTCATCTATGAAAATAGGGTTTTATGATTTTGTTTTTCTCAGAAGAAAATTACACAATTTTTCACAAAAAAATAAAAAACAAGAACTAAATAATAATAAAAATACAAAAAATGAAACTCGAATATCACCTGCAATTTCCAGTGAAAAAGTGGTTGGCGACGATAAACATGTACTGAACAACAAAATTGTCAGATTTTCACTATTGTATTCATTTTTTTTTTTGGAGAAAATTCAATGCTTATTCTCATATAATTTGTGACATTCTAATTATATCCCATTGCCAAAGAATCCCGTTGCCAAAGAAGAAGAGTTCTGATCATTAATGTCCCTATTTTACCTCTCATTATTTGAATGTAGCCAAAACATATAAAAAGAATACAAAGAGTTTTAACTCAAATAAGATTTTATGTTGTATTTTTGCTTAATTAAGTCTAAAAAATTATACCGACTTTCAAGTTTCCCAACATTGTATGTTGTTTCGGCCTAATTTTATTGGGCCACAAAGTACAGCTGAATGTCCTGCTATGGGCTTGTACCAAAAAAGACCCCAGTATTCTCGGACTAAGATTTATGGGTTAGTCGGCCCTAACTGGAGCTTTAAACAGGCTCATGGGCACAAAGACGACGTACCTACTGTGGACTCGGCCATTTCAGAGCTCAGAACTGGAGGCAAACAGAGAGAGAGAGAGAGAGAGAGTTCAGAACTCGAGGCAATCCCAGACAACAGGCAGGAGATAGAGAAAGAGAAGGAGAAAGAGAGTTAAACCTGCTCGGAGATATAGTGAAAAGGAAGACCCGGGGGAGAGAGAGAGATGTTGTTCCAGGTAGGAGGACAAGGGACTCGTCCCACGTTCTTCGAGATGGCTGCTGCTCATCAGCTCCCTTCCAGCCTTAGAGCCGCTCTCACCTACTCCCTCGGGGTAAGCATCCCTTCGTTCACTGTTATTTGATTGGGATTGTGTAATTTAATTAAGAGTCGATTTCAGCATTTTGTGTAACTTATTGTTATGCTGCTGTGCAGGTGTTAGCTTTAAGAAGACCTTTCCTCCATAGGGTCTTAGATTATGAAGACGAGTTCTTTTCTTTGCTTATGCTGGTTCTTGAAACTCACAGCTTAAGAACCACAGGTAGATGTTTATATCCTCACCCCCTTTCTTTTCTCCGCATATATTTTAAGAAAAAGATCATTACCCAGTGTGCCCTTCTTTAATCGAGAGTGGTATGGATGGATTGGACACATTTGACATTATTTGCTCTGGCTGCCCTTATATTTGAATCCAAAATACGATTTAAGCTTGATGATTTTACCTCTGTACTAGCATTATTCCCCACATATACTTTGCATTTTGGAAAAAAAATACATATTTATCTGGAATTTGCCTCTTGTAGTTGGCGTTCTATTTTACTTGCTAATGTGATTATGATACCCTTTAATGTGCAGATGGATAACCGTACACCTTGCTTTCATTTTGTTGTGAATTGAGAACCACCATTTCTTGCTGTTGATGGTAGTGTTGAAAAATAGTTGCGTGGTCTTGATAGCATTTGGATATTTGATGATTTCTTGGTATAGGTCATAACCCATAACAAGTTATGCATGATTTCTTGGGAGGTTCTGGCCCTCTTAAAGCCCTTCCCTAATTCTTCCTCTCACAATAATTCCCTCAACCACATGTAAAGGGTAATTATTGAAACAAATCTTGTGGAAGTCTTCAATGCTGGCTCAAATTTAGTACCTTCAACTATATAATGGAGGCCCTTAGACTTCTTCTCTACCAATTTTGGTAACATATTGTTGAGTCTATCCCTTATATTTGTCCCTTCTGTAACGAATTGACCCAATTTCATATAATTCAGAGCAATATTAACTCCAAAAAATTTAGTACTATTTCCATATAATAAATTCATAAATTTACGATTTAAACCACTTTTAGGAGTAAAATATGTAAATCGTACAAAATTGGCTCAATTAAGCTTCACGGATATCCATCTGTAATTAATTGACCAACTTCTTCAATTTTTACTTGTTCAATTGTCATGCTTTTTGTCTCTCTTTAATTCATCTCTTCAATTCAACCTGCTAAAGGAATAATGGGGGTGAGCTCGAAAGCCTAGTAAGCAAAATAATATACAATATGACAAGAGTACAATTAAATCAATAACATAACTATAAACTGAACCATACTCGACATATCATATGTCTTGCGAGATTGGGTATAAACCTGGCTCTTTACCAATTACCTCAACTCAACCCATGACTAGCCTAAAATCCACATAATCGATGATCCAAATACTCAACATCATAAAAGAAACCATCCCACTTATCCAATCCTCAATCGATACCGGTAGATATGCACACATATTTAAGTTCAATGAGCATTAGAACTAAAGCCACTATCTCTTTTTGTCTCAGTCTTGCAGATTCTCTTTGATTTGCCTTTTTCACCCTTTCTTCAGTGTTGCTACTGATGTCTTCTTGTTTATAATGCATGAAACACGTGCATTAGTTATATTGACTATACATAAGCTAAGCACACATCCTTCCATTTGCGTTTTAAACTATGAAGTATGAATATTTTGTTGAGGTTGACTTACTCGTATCGGATACAGTATCAAATACGATTTTAGTATCGGATGCACTTCCAACGTATTTGACAATAGTAAAATATTTTGATGCCTTGAGGATACTTTTGTAGCGGAGTAATATGTATAATTTTTGAATTTAATCTTTAAACATCTCCTTTCAAATTTACATGCCATACAAAACATCAACAAAAATTTATACGACTTTGAAGACACGAGTTTTTTTTCCGTTTTATCTACTATGACATATTAAGAGCATAAAATAATTTTTTTTATATTTTTAGCAACAAATACTTAGGAAATCAACTAGTAAATATGAGTTTTGATTCTTTTAATTAGTCACTTTCTTTGTGAATATACCATAATGATACAATATATATTTTTCTGAAACTAAAGAAAAAGTGCCAATTTTGCTTATTATGTTAAAGAATTACCAAAATATATAATTATTAAATCGGTAGATAATAGTAAGAATATGAAATATATTTTACTATAGATGTATCTTAGCCAAACCCATACCCTACTTTTTTAGATTTTGTGTATTGCCGTATCCGTATCGTATTGTGCCCATATCCTAAATCCGTATTCGTGCTTTATAGGTCTTCAATTAAATTTAAGCTATCGCATCCTATAGTTGTCACATGCTTCCTACACCATTCAACACATACTTTTTTTTTTTTGATACTTCATTGAACCCATACTTTATAAAGCCCGCATATCACCCGGAAATGAAAAGGCGGCCAACAAATGTCATAAATTTCAAAATTCTAATTTCCTCCCTTGAACCCCCAAACATAAATCCAAATATTTTCATAAATCATAGATTAGCCCCACTACTATTTATTTTAATTATAAATTTTCTTTTATTTTGGTTGGGTGGTTTTAGTTCATGATTTTTTTTTTTTGATAAGATGCAAATGATTTTTGATGAAAGGTGGCATATTAGAAAGGAAAAAAAGGTGGACAAGTAGTCCATCCTGAAGTCCATGGAAGAGAAATAGCACACGACTATAACTACATATGATTTGCATATAAGTCACATGAAGCTCTCCATTCCATCAAAACAAAACAAAGCAGAATTCTGTTGATAGGCCTCGGTGACTGAAGCCTAAAAAGATGCTAAAAAGTGAATTTGATTAAATAAACCTTCCACATACCCTTTTGTGTGTTTCAATGTTCTATCATTCCTTTCAAACCTAATGATCTGATTGTATTAAGAATTGCGTAATGATACAGAGTAATCCCTTTATTGTGCTCCCCAAAACCATGAAGTCCTCAAAAAGCATAGAATAAGAAGAGCAAGGAATCACCAAACTTAAACTTGTATAGTTAAACATTGCGTTCCACAAGGACAATAAATTTTGTAATACAAGGATAATTGATCAATACTTTCACCAGCACATTGAGACATAATACGCCATTGCTGGGAAAGACAAGCTTGAGGTTTTCTTTGAATTGAAGTATATCATTATTATAAATCTTGCCATGAACAATTGTCCATGCACAAACTTGTAGCTACTTGTAGCTTAATAGATATTTTAGCCTTCCATATCGTCAAAGATCAGGAGAACAGTGTATTTGAGGGATCATCAACCAAAGATTTAAAGGGAAGCTTGCAAGTGAAAAAACTTGAAGAATGAAGAACACGTCGTCTTTAATTAAATGACTCAATTTAAATCTATGTCATTAAGTGCAGAATGCATTGAAACTAAATTTGGAGTATCTTTGTTGCCTAAATTTCTATCAAACCCGAAGTCCTGAGGGGGAATGAGAGCTAGACTAAATTATGGAAGCTATAAAAGCACTATGAGCACGGTAAACTTGTTGATGATGTAGAAACAAGCATCGAAAAGATGGCTCCCCTAACTAGGTATCCTCCCAAAGTTGATCTCTTGGTTTTGTGAGGATATTTACATAGTTCTGGCGTCTTTTTCATGCTTGTTTTTTATTTTTTTGATAATCAACAAAAGCTTTTCATGGATTATTAAAAAAACTTACATGATGGATGATTTGCCCTTCACTAATATACAAGTAAAATAAATGTGTAAACATAAGCACTAAAACAAAAATTATAATTCGCAAAAGACTGTACAATTTATCCTAATTGAGGATAAAGTTATTCCCAAAAAGTGATGCCACATAGAAATCCAAAAGGTTGAAAAAAGCAAATTCTTTTTGATATGTACTCCATCTCTTCACACTTGTCTCCCAAAATTCTTGCATTTATCTATGCATCTCCATAATGATTTAACTTTTTTATTCCTTCCAAGGCCCCAAATTTCAATTTCAAGTATCGCTCTACAAGAAATGGGCATAATTCCACACATCTCTACCAAATAAAACAATCTACTCCATAAAGAATTAGCAAACGGTCAATGAAGAAAAAGATGATCAAGACTCTCCTCATTTGTTTTACGCATAATGCACCACTACCGAATCAAAGATAAATAAGGTCTCCGCCTTTGAAGTAAATCATTAGTATTAATTTTCTTTTGAGCACCAGTCCATGAGAAAACTTGACTTTAATAGACATATTTGCTTTCCAAATCATCTTAGAATCTTCAAACTGTGGCATGGAAGGATCATCAACCAAGGTTTCATGAACGATATGCAGGAAAACTCCCTAGATGAATGAATAGCCTACCCCTTCCTATTGAGAATATCTTGGTTGAGCAATACACCGATACATGACTCATTCTATATTTTTAAAATACATTTATGGTTTAGAAAGTCTTTTTCATGAAAAGCCTAAGATTCATTCAAAGATATTCTTAATTTTATTTTCATTAACTTAATGAGCCTATGTCTAAAATTAAACTAAGGATTCTTAAGTATCTAGGTTATTGCCAGGGTCCTAAAATTAAACTAAGGATTCTTAAGTATCTAGGTTATTGCCAGNACTTAATGAGCCTATGTCTAAAATTAAACTAAGGATTCTTAAGTATCTAGGTTATTACCTGGGTCCTAAGTATTGAAAGTGCATTGGAGATGCTTGCGGAACTTGATCTCTGTAGCATTATGACCATGGAAATAGGCGGAGATTTTACAATAATAGAAGTCTCTCATGCTCATAGTAACCCTACTCCCCCCCCCTCCTATATGATTATGATAACATTGAAATCTACACCAATACACCTTTTAGGATAATGNGGAGATTTTACAATAATAGAAGTCTCTCATGCTCATAGTAACCCTACTCCCCCCCCTCCTATATGATTATGATAACATTGAAATCTACACCAATACACCTTTTAGGATAATGACCAAATACATTTGTAGTTCCTTCCACATATCCACCCTATTCGTAGGACGATTAGGACCATAAACATCGGTTAGCCGCCACTCCCTCACAGTTAAATTCTTAAACTGAATCGATATCGTAAAAAATCCCACCACTATAGCCATACCCTTAACAAGTGTCTCATCCCAAATAATTAATTCTCCTAAATCTTCCACAAGGATGTAAAAAACCCATTTCCTAATGCTAACCTCCCAAATACTCAGCATAAATTTCCTATTAATCCTTTCAACCTTTGTTTCATGGATTACTACAATGTTAGGACAAATCTTCTCCAAAAGCTCTCTGTTGCTCAAGGTGATTCCATTGCTTGTATGAATGGGTCTAGGCCCCATCCTCTTCTTTTGAATTTTTGATGTTGAGGAAATCAAAACAGTAGAGAAAATTTTAGGTATTGATTCTTCAAGTGTTTTCTATTGTAAATGTTTCCTTGAATCTTTGATTGACAACCTTTTTGTTTTTTTCTTTTTCCCATTTTGATGATTGCAAGGCTAAGGTGCAAGTGTGTGGATGGACCATCTCTCATGGCATGTTTATACCAATGGCGCATTTCAAACAAGAAAATCTAATGCTTGCCTTTCACTGCAATAGTGTTTTGTATGTTGTAATAATAGTTATTGATCATTTAATTCTGCATTAAACTTTTGCTTTGACTTTATGGAATAAGTTGTCAACTTGACATGTTTGAGTTGGGTAATTAGGTGATGAAAGGTTGGATCCATTTTTAGAATCTTTTTGGGTGTCGGTTACCAAGGATTTTTAAGGCACTCGTCTTTTTTGTGTTTTGGCGGAATGTAGTGAATTATGTAATCTATAGATTGGGCATTATATATGGAAAGCTTATTATGTACTATTTTTCCTTTTGATTAGCTGTTGTTGGTTGGACTACTTGTCCACCACTCTTCTATTTGCTTCTTGTATTACTTATTAGTAAAAACTAATACGTGGTTTCTTGTAGAAAAGACAAAAAAGGTAACCGTGAAAATTAAACTTCGATGGGCGTCGGAAACTTCCCCTTTCAACCACTTTAACATCTCATACGCGGGGCTGCTTGNTTAAACTTCGATGGGCGTCGGAAACTTCCCCTTTCAACCACTTTAACATCTCATACACGGGGCTGCTTGCTGCTCGCTGCTCGCTCCTATCTCTAAAGGGGTTAGAGGCTTATGTACTCAACACGTTATCACTAAACGACGAAGCCAAGAATGGAAGGAGGGACTTGAACCATCAACCTCTGCCTTGGCAAGGCTATGGGACTGTTGCGTTGTCTATAGAGATGGGGTAGCCCCAACTTCCATAGGTCCTTGATTCGGCTTCCTATATTTGATGATTCCCCAGTAGACCTGGAAAAATGTGGACATTGAATCTATCCAGACCCAGGGCTTTATTCGGAGTTGCCATAGCTTATGGCTAGAGCAATGCGAGGGGCCGCTTTCAATCTGGTTTGCAAGGCACAAGATGCTATGGAAATTTGAGTGAAAGCATTCCCTGCTAGGCAGCCCTTGTATTTTATTTCATTGCTAGAAACGACAGCAGAAAACAATCTGTTGCCGCTGACAGATCAAAAGAATGCAAAACATCCCAATTTGACATGCCATGTTTGTGCACTGAATTTTGTTCCAGAAGCAATTTTCGGAGTAAGGCCACATTTCTTGCCATCAAATATAATATTGAAAGACCACCTTTAACTTCAGTTTTAGAGACCACTTCTCAATTGATCAAATGATCCTGGTTTCCTTCACCACTTCTTTCACATAGGAAACCACTAATCATCTTTTGGATCTTCATTCCTATCTTTCTTGGCACCTTGAAGAGAGATTAAGTAAATGGGTATACTATGGCAACTACACTGAACTAAGGTTAACCTACCCTTATGGAAAGGAAAGCTCAATCCATCCAATCCTTTTAACATATTTTCAATAAAATGATCCAATAAGTCAAAAGGCAATGAACCCCACCTAAAAGAAAGGCATAAGAACTTTAGAGGTTATTCATCCACAGAACATCCCAAAATCCTATCCAACCAATTGATCATATCTCGATAAGAATTTATACCAAGTTTCCNTATCTTTCTTGGCACCTTGAAGAGAGATTAAGTAAATGGGTATACTATGGCAACTATACTGAACTAAGGTTAACCTACCCTTATGGAAAGGAAAGCTCAATCCATCCAATCCTTTTAACATTTTTTCAATAAAATGATCCAATAAGTCAAAAGGCAATGAACCCCACCTAAAAGAAAGGCATAAGAACTTTAGAGGCTATTCATCCACAGAACATCCCAAAATCCTATCCAACCAATTGATCATATCTCGATAAGAATTTATACCAAGTTTTCAACAATTAAGCTGGTGTACCGACCACTTTGCTTTAAAAGGCCCAACCCATTTCTACCTACCCACCTCTTGACGAGTGAACCCAAAGTTCCTGCGGCTGTTTGATTGCTGCAAACTCTGCCATTAAACATTTCACCATGCCTTGAAGTCACCCTTATTTTAATCAGAAGAAAATTCAGGATACTTTGGCCAGAACTGTTGAAATTCAGTGTTCTGTGAAGATCCTACTAGGGTGGATAAACTTTCAACAATCGATTCACGTACCCTGCACATGGCCCGATCATAATGCATTCTCTAATACACACTACCTCACAAGTATATTTTATAATCTGAAAGAACCGATTCTGCAGAATTGATTACTGTTTCATTAGGCCCCTCTGTTCCCCTGTTTCTATCTCCAATCAACCCTTGCACCTGAAGTCTCACCATCGATAATCATCCTCCTTTCACCATCACCCTCAGACCTCTGTTCTTGCCATAATTCTCCCTGTTTCTGCCAGCATTTAAACCAACATTGGATAAGTGAACATCTTCAATCATCCTACTTGCACTACCAACCCTCGGCATCCTGGCCAACATTTTTGATACTCATCCAGAATTGTTAGGAACTTCCATCTAACATCGGAATTCAGTTCCACCCACGGTTTACATAATTGACCTCAGAATTTTTTGGAACCCTCCACTTTGCCGTTTCATCTAATGCAAGGTGCAACCAAGTAACATAGCCCAATCCCAATGTAATTAAAGAACTTGCAAAACAAGTTCTCTCTGTGTTCTTGGTAGCATTGCCCCAAGAATCGTCATCAGCCTCTAAAAAGATTTTCTGATCAATGTTAACCTCTTGCCCAAGATGTTGAAATCTCTTCATCTTAGTCAAGCTAGCACCTATTCCACATCTCAGAAATCCTAATTTGAAGTCTTATTATCAGGTTAAGACTGCTAGAATTCTTTGCATATCTCCATTAACTTTTATCTGGAAGTTCCCCAAGCACAATCTGGTACAGAAAGTGCTAAACATCTCAGCATTCTAGTAGTTCATCATTATCTGTGTAGTTATACAGTATGATCAAGTGACTGCTTGAAGCATTCCCATCTGATTTCAGTTCTTTAGGTGTATAAATTAAAGTGTTCATCAAGCAGTGTTAGCACAATGACAAAACGTGCAGCATGTAGCTGATCCCAAAAATGATGGGACAAAATTTTGTTGAGTTGAATATTTATCTAGCAGGATTAGAGAAACTGAGCTGTGAAATTGAAGAATTAGCTTGTTCCGACATGATCATTGATATAGTGCAACCTAACAATTTATGCTTCTGATACGAAAGATTTTGGCTCTATTTAACTAGAATGTGCATGGCATTGATACATCTTGAATTCATTCTTTTGACTTTCTCAGACGCCTCTTTTTCTGAGTCTTTGTATGGCCTGCGAAGAAGAGCAGTTAATGTAATAGTGCAGAAGAAGAATACTCATTCAGACTCGGGTGATAAAATCCATCACATGGGGTTAGAGAAGCGCCAGAAAGTTCTCTCTGTCGTTTTTTTGGTACATATTTTTTTCTCTGTTATTCAACCGCAAAATTGAATAGATTTGTCTTCATTGATTGGTGGTGAAATCTATTGTGTTGCTTTTGTTGTCTTGAAACTTTCTCTTCAAAGCGTAAAGGTTTAGAGTCTATTGATATGGAGCTGTTACATATTACCTGCTGTGGTATAGGTGTCTTTTATTGGATTTTACGAGTTGTTGCAGGGCGATACTATTTTCAAACTTTCATAGTTTTTGCCTGGTTTAGATGCAGCCAAGTTTCATACAAAGAACATGTGATATAAGACAATAATTGTAGTAGTGCATTACTGTGGCATGCGTATGTGTGCACGCATGCCTTTATGGCTTGTTCACATATGTTGTGCCATGCCTGTGCTGTCCAATATTCCCATTCATTAGGCCAGAACGCATAACATGGAGAAACATTTGGATGCTAGCCAATATATTTGAACTAGGGTTTGCTGGGACAAGGTTTTGTATAGTTTTTGAATTGAGTTGACTGAGTGAGTTGTAGGGCATATTGACTTCATAAAAGATGCTTTTAAGAAATTGAAAATGTCACTGAAATAAGGAGCGATGTTAGGTTGAAAATGTTTATACATAGAAAGCATAAGACTTGCACTTTATTTTGGTTGACAAAAGGAAAGACATAATATTGAAGGAATAAGCTTTGAGAAGTTTGTATATTGACAGAGGGCTATACGTTGACCAAGAATTAAAAGTTATGAATGCAATAGCAGTTGTGAGTTGAGCAATATTTATCAAATTCATACTTGTCCCCCAAAAATGTTATGAAGATGCATATTACTTATTTCAAAATGGTGTTAACTAATTGGGCTTAGCACTCCAATCATTGAAAACAAAAGGTCTATTCAGTCTTAGCACTCCAATCATTGCAAACATGGGATGTCTAAATGATAAATTCTTGTATAATGCCAAGCTGTGCTCAATGGGCTTCTAGCTGGTGTTGAGCCTGGGTGTGTTATCAGATATATATTTGCTTGCTTTCCAACCATTCAACACTTTTAACAATTCCTATGTAGGGTGCCCTTTTGTGTCATATTGCGTTGATAGGGGTACTCCAGGTTGAAGCAGGGGTTTTCTGCGAATATATGCCAATGCCAAGGTGAAAAGGTTTTCCTGCCAAACTAGAAGGTTGGCAACCTTGTGGGGGTTAGATGGATATAGAGAACTTATTTGTTGCCTCAATTGGCTGGAGTGTCTGTTGTGAGGTGGAAAGTTGAGATTGACTAATCTATCAAATAGTTTTAATTTTTAACTTCGTTGACCATTCTAGGTGGCTCGAAATATATGTACTTCGATAGGATGAAATAAACTTGTTACCCATTGTTGAATTTGCAAATAATCATGGAAGAAACGTACCTAAGCAAACATGTAGATACAAGCGCATATGTGTGTGGTTCATTTGGAGATTTGTTACTTTTATTGTATCTTGTTTTGTCTAGTTCTTATTGTACTAATGGTTGGACTTCTTGTCCACCACTTTTGTAATTTCTCTTATAGGGAAACATGTTTTGTTTCTTATCCAAAAATGATACAAGCCAAAATGTAGCAAGATGGTTGCCAAACTTTGGCATTGTAAACTAGAAGGTTGTCATTAGGATTTTTAAAATGAGTTGTTCTACAGCCGTCTTTTTTTCCTTTGAAGGTATCAATTCATATAGTGATAGTTTGTTTTGATGATTTATTGTGTTTTCTTCAAGGAATTGGTCNTTTCCTTTGAAGGTATCAATTCATATAGTGATAGTTTGTTTTGATGATTTATTGTGTTTTCTTCAAGGAATTGGTCCCAAACTTATGTGTAGGAGCTTTGTGCATTGCATATGACCATGTCTTATTGTATTTTCTTATTATATAGGTAGAAAAAAACTATGACTCACCTTCTTTATCTAATTGTGTAGTGTTGATTGACCAGTTTAATTTTGTGTCGGGTTCACGTTCGGATTCGGATTCGTGTTTGNTTGTGTAGTGTTGATTGACCAGTTTAATTTTGTGTCGGGTTCACGTTCGGATTCGGATTCGTGTTTGTGTTCATGTTGACTCATATAACCTTCGAATAAAGAATTTAACGCTAAGATTTAAATCTAATATTCTATTATCAATTAATTGATTTCATGTTCATACTTTTTCTATAAATTAGGAATGCAACACGTGCGTTGCACGTGAATAATTTTTATATACAAAATATTAATAAAAATTATTAGATATGTGTGTACCTACATTAAATATCACCTCAAGTTTATCAAAATTATATTTTTATTGCTCACATTATACTATAAAATTCAAAAAATATTGTTTGTTCGCAGCGAGTCGTTGTTCTCACTATAAGAAAAAAAAATTAATTCATTTGAAATTCATTTGATTAGGTTTCAATATATAATTCATTGAATAAAATAAAAATAATTGTCAATATTCTAATCAATGGTTACTATAATTAGAAATTATTTTGATCAATAAGGATAAAATATAGGGTGAATAACACTTTGAGTCTCTAAAGTATGCGTTTGTTGTCAATTTCGTCTTCAATATATAAATTTTGTCAAGTTGATTTATAAACTATTCAATTTTTGTTTAAATGGTCTCTAACCAGATGGTTCATTAAGTTTTTTTACCGGAATTGATAATATCACACGACCAATACGTGATCACTTCTGTCAAAAACTTAACAGATATTTGTGTATATATCATTTAAACACTAACTTAATACTTTAGAGATCAAATTAACAAAATTGATACAATGAGGATCAAACTGATAAAACATACATATTTCAGGGACTAAAAGTGCTATTAACCATAAAATATAATATACTACCCTATAATATATATATTTTAAAAGAATATTAGAATTCTAAAATTCAAGTTTTACTTTAAAATACACTATAGTTTTTTTTATATAAACTTTTGATAAAACCTGAAAAGTTTACTATGATTGAATAATTATCTTGATTGAACATAAATTAGTTTTAAAAAGAAATACATGAAAGATTATTTTTTATCTTAAAAATAAAATGGGTGTAATTTTGAAAAAAAAAAATACACATATATAAACATAATGTTATCTTTATATTTGAAATGAGTAATATTAGATTGATAAAATTTTTGAAGATTTTTTTGAATGTTTTATTGAAAACTATAGTGATGCATATATTTTTTAAGGGTAAATTAGTCAATTAAACAATTTCATAGATATTGTTTTTTTATACATAGTGAATAGAGAATTAAAAGAGATATTAAAGGTAATTTAGAGATTTAAACACATAAGTATATGATGGTAATTTAGATATTTAACTACAGAATGATTGTTTGATATTTAAAATTCTTTACAAGAATAAAATAGTGAACAAAAGTTTTTCATTCTAAGGTACTTTTATTAGTTTTGTGTGTGTGTGTATATATATATTAGTAATATAGATGGAAAAAATACATATAAATATATAGACATAATACTATTTTTTTATTTGAAAAGAGTAATAATCGATTGATAGATTTTTTGAACAAGTTATTGAAAACTATAATCATGCATATATTTTAAAGGTTACTTAGTCAATTAAAATTTTTCATAGATATTGATATTTAATCAAAGATAATAGAGAATTAAAAGAGATGTTAGAGGGTAATTTGAAGATTTAAATACACAAGGTTGTGATTGTAATTTAGATATTTAACTATGAAAATATAATGTGGTATTTAAAATTTTTTATAAGGGTAAAATAGTGAATTAAAAGTTTTTCACTTAAGGTACTTTTAATAGTAGTATAGATAGATTAAAAATTAATTTAATAAACATAATAATAATAATGAATAAAATGTCTTTTTTGTACAATAACTATGTCAATGCTTAATAAACAATAACAAATAATTAGCATTTTATTTTTATAATATTAGTTAATCGTGTTAATTTCATGTTGTTCGTGTTTGACACTAATCTAACCTATGTATTATTTGTGTTAATGGGTTGTGTCATTTGTGGGTTCTTGTTAAGAAATGATCAACCCTAACTCTCTAAGTTCGTGTTGAGTTCGAGTCGTGTTTTCGTATTGTGTCAGAAATTGTCACCCCTACCTTCTAGCTCTCGTTTGAAACCACATCTCCATGTTGAAATTTATTTTAATAAGAAGAAATTTATTCAGGAAGACCATACACAAAATAAAAATAAAAATGAAGTGTGCTTGCAAAGAACACCTAATGCTATAACATGTCAAAATATCAATAAAATATTTTCTATAGTGAAAGTAAAAATAGGAAATAATGTGGTTTAGGAAAGGGGTTAGGACCACTACTAGTACGAGGAAGTTTAATAGT